CTGAGATTCCACCTCACTCCAGAAAGAATGGCTGCTATCATGAAATCAACCAATAACAAATGCTGGTGGGGGTGTGGGGAAAGGGGAATCCTGCTCCAAGGATGGTGGGAGTGTAGACTGGTGTGACCACTGTGGAAATCAGTATGGAGATACCTCAAATAACTAGGACTGGAATTCCCATTTGACCCAGCTCTTCCCCTGCTGTGTATCTTCCCCAAAGAATTAAAAGAATCATACCACAGTGATATATGTGCACCCATGTTCATTCCAGCACAGTCTGTAATAGCTAAAACTTGGAAGCAGCCCAATTGCCCATCAACTGGTGACTGGATAAAGAAAGTGTGACAATGGGCCGGGGATTTAGCTCAGTGGTTTTGCCGCCTGCTGCGCAAGCTCAAAGACCTGAGTTCAATCCCCAGTACCAAAAAAAAAAAAAAGAAAGTGTGGTTTTTTTATAAAATGGAGTACTACTCAGCCGTAAAAAAATGAGAAATTAGAGACCCTTATAGGTAAATCGATGCACATTGAGGCGATACTCTTAAATGAAATAAACAGGACACACGTGTAAATACCAAATAGTTTCTGTAGTGTGACAAACTAAAATTGTAAAGAAGAACTAAAAGTATGATAGATAATGTGAAATAGGAAGAAAAGGTGCAAAGGGGCAGGGGAAGTGGGAGGGGTAGGGGAAAGGAAAGAAGGGAATGGAATTAGTATGAAAAAAGGTGAAAATGGAGACAAATTCTGTGTAAATAGGGAGGGCTGGAGGGGTTGAAGGGAGGGCAGGGTAAGGAGGAAAAATAAGAACCAAGAGAGATTATGTAAAGGTGCAAATTTCCAATGATGAATGTTATTATACTGTACACCTAAAATGTACCAATGAAATAAAATTTTTAAAAAACAAACAAAGAAAGCCAACACAGCTGGCCTCCCTAATTACCATGACAAAATTAGGATAGACTATGTTGAAACAAAAAATCTTCTTTCTTGATTACCAGTCATTATTGATCTTGAAAACATATATCTAATGGGTTGGATTTGCTTGACTATATATGGAAATAAGATTCCTTGTCTTTCCAGTCTTTTAGTGGTTTGCATGTGATGTGGGTCACATTCTGGTTTAATGCTTATTCAGTAGTAGAACTCTCTCTCTGTCTCTCTCTCTCTCTCATGTGTGTGGGTGTGTGTGTATACTATGGCAAAATACCTGAGTAAATCAATTTATAGGGAGGAAAGATTTATTTTGGCTCACTTTTTCAGCAGTTACAGCCCATGGCCCCTTTTCTGTTGTTTCTGGACAGAACATTGAGAGAACACAGTGGGAAGAAAGTTCCTCACTTCATTGTGGTCAGGAACAGAGGAGAAGAATGGTCAGGTTTGCCAGATACTCTTCAAGGGCACGCCCACCGTGTTCTAATGCCTCCAACTAGGCTCTACCTCATCAAAGTTGCACCACCTCCCGATAGTGACCAACCTGTTAGTACATGGTGTTTGGAAGAGATTCATTTTATTATGAAAAACCATTGTAATCTCTCTTTTCTCTCTCTCCCTCTTACATTTCTAGGGATGTTTTCAGGGCTGGGAGAAAATGTTCTGTTACTACTGGTATTATGTATCCCTAACAATGGCAAGGCCTCCAAACCCTTTACCAATCAGTCAGTAGATGTGCCCCACCCTAACAAGATGGGCGCTGCCCTGGATGAGGAGGAACTTTGTAGTGGAAGCAGCAGAAGTTCATTTGTGGAAGCACTGAAGGGGCAGCAGGGTGCTATCATAGTTTTTTTATTGCAGCTGAGTTACACTGTTTTGTTTTGTAAAACAGTATTTTTCATGCAGCTCCCAAACTTTCACAAAGTAGCACATGTTCTCATTCACTTGCAGAAGTCTTGAGTAGTGAGGTGCTCTACTTGTGCACATTGTTCACATCATGAAAATTAACATATGACAAGTCAGAGACAGAGGTAGACTCCTGTGTTTCCTGCCACTCAGCCGAGACTTTGCTTTGACACTATTGCTTTACTTCTTATTTTGCCACCATGACCAGATGCTGAGATATCAAGCCTGAAAATCATTCTTAATTTGTTTCATGGAGTATAACTTCTTGGAACTCTGCCTCACCACAAGAGCATCATGACCTTTTTCAGGCATCTTCTACTCCTACACCATGGTACCAGATCTATGATTAGGTAAGAATGAACATTATGGTAGTTCTCCAGAGACAAAAAAACAATAAAATAGATAGATAGATCTGTAGTTGTGTGAGCCAACCCTTCATACTACAGAGACTAAATCCCATAATCTGCTGTCTGTAGGCTAGAGGTTCAGGAAAGCCAATGGTATAGTTCCAGTTTTAACTCCAGAGGCCCAAGGATCAAGGAAAACACCATTCAAGTCCCATTCCAAGTTTGAAGATTCAAAAACTAGGGTTATGAATGTTGGAAGGCATAAAATGAGTCTTCTAGCTCTAGTCGCGGAAATTACCTTTCCTTTGCCTTTTTATTCTGTTCAGGCCCTCAACAGATTGTATGATGCCATCCACACTGGTTAGAGAAGATCTTTAGTGAGACTACTGATTGAAATGCTAATCTTTTCCAGGAGCACCTTCACAGACATACCCAGAAATAACATTTCTACCAGCTACTGAGAAATCTCTTAGCCCACTCAAGGTGACATATAAAATTAGCTACCACAGATGTCTCCAACCATGTTAATAAAAGAGACTGTCAGGGAAACAGAACTTTCTGCCAGAGCATCTAGGCTTTATTGTACCTTGACTTTACCCTTCTCCCTTAGGTATATTTAGGAACCTGTCTGGGTGCCTCAAGTCATAGTACTAGGGACATTTGCAAAAATAAGCCAATTACACAGTCCAAGATGAATCCAAAATGCAACCAGTTTCGAGGAACTTGATGTCTGGAAGCTGTAGGACATTCCTAAGCTGATTGACAGGATGTAATTTCTGACTCCAATAAGGTTATCATTTTAACACTCCTGGGGGATTCACCAATATATTCCCCCCTTTTACTATAAAGAAACATATAGTACATTAAATTGTCCTTCATAGTCAGCTGACCTTTGGGTTATCATTTCATCCATTTGTACACATCAGGAAAGGGGCTAAAGAGGATCCTGGAACCATCAGAACCTGGCCAGAGGTTTCCAAATTGTCCCCTGAGACAAACTCAAACAAAAAAAGACCTGGGATAGCTTATTTCAGACAAATAGAATTCATGACAAAAAGCTTTGAAAGGGTCAAAGAGAAACATTTTATACTGAACAAAGGTCCAATCCAGAGTAAACACCTAACAGCTAGAACATTTGTAGGACAATAACAAAGTATGCTGGAAACATAAGAGGAAACACAATATTGTGCTTGAAACACAATATTTATGGATGGCTAAAATATAAATACCTCAGCCTTTGACAATGTAAATAAATAAAAATGGTCAAGAAGTATAGAAATTCTAAATCATAAAATTTTTCATTATAAAGAGAAAATATGCTATCCCTTTAAGAGTCTGTGGAATTTAAAATATAAGTCACAAAAATAAACTCAATATTTCAAAGCATAAATTTATGTAAGCCATTTTATCATATGATAAAATAATAAAACTAGAAGTTAAATAAGTAAGCAATCCACTTTAAGCTAGAGAAAAACTCCCAAATATAATATAATATATAATACAATAACTCAATATAATAACTATTATATTAAGGTAGAATAAAAATTACAGATATAAACTATTTTTAAAATAATGAAAATGAGATTTCTATGCAGTTTGTGTAATAAACACTTGATCATTTTTAATAAAAATACTACAGGGGCCAGGGATGTAGCTCGGCAGTGGAGCACCTGCCTGGCAACCACAAGGTCATGAGTTTGATCCCGGGTACCAAAAATGAAACTACAGAATGGTGTGACTGAGAATGATGGATATGAGAGGGAGTGGTACTTGTCCCTGGAAAGAACTCCCTGAGATGGCATTTAAGCTGAGATCTGAATATTAGGAAGAGTTCCCTTATGACAATCTGGAAAGAAAGTATTCTAGAAAGACAACCTATGCTGTGGTTCAAAGAGAATTAGATGCAGCAAATGCAAAAGTTGATAACTAAATTTTCTCAGAAGAAATAGTAAAAATAACTAAATTATTCATTCAAAAATATAGAATAAGATTAAAAATTCTTTGAAAAGGAGAAAGTAAATAATAAAGATAACAAAAATAAATTAATGCAGAAAACAAAAAAGTCAGTATTGATAAATCCAAAATTTAATTATTGGAAGAATAATATAGAAAATAATTATCTAATCAAGAATTTTTTTAAAACATATAAATATAAAAATATAGAAAGTTACCCACTTTTTATTTTTTCATCTAGGATATGTACCTATTAAGTTCAGTCCACTTTGTATCAAACTACTCATGTTTCAAAACCAAGAAACATTCATTCCAGATATTAAAAAAACTCAGAATTTTTAAAAAAGTATATATATGTAATATGGCATAACATTTTTTTCTGGTAGGCAAGAACTACCTTGTAAGCATAATAGATGAACAGTCTTTTGATAAAAGTCAACACTTTTGGGTTGGGTGTGTAGCTCAGTGATAGAGCAATTGCGTAGCATGCACAAGGTGCTAAGTTCAATCCCGACAATACACATTCAAATTCAACACTTTTTTGCATTATGAGTTATTCTAGCAGCTTGGAAGAATGAGCTAATATAGATCACTTGTTCCACTCATCATGAAGAAATAATGGTAGAAGATATATAATGCATACAATAAAAATAACTACTAGGCTCCAAAAAAAGAAAAGTAATACATAAACAATGTGGGGACTTTAAAAACTTAAAATTAAAAAGGGCTACAATGATAACTAAGGCTTTGAGGTGAAAGTATCAGTTCTAGACTTTGGCTTTTTTTTCCATTAGGAGATAAGATATATACAGTTTGGGGCCTGCAAAAAGTGCCAGTCTATATCTAAGATCCCTGTATAAAACAAGGACCTTAAAGGTTGGCCTCAGTAAACTAAGCATGAAAAACACTGATTCTGTGGCCCAGAGTAATGACTTTTTGTTTTGGTTTTGGTTTTGGGGTTTTTTTTTTGGTATCAGGGATTGAACTCTGGACCTTGAGCTTGCAAAGCAGGCAATGGAACCACTGAGCTACATAACCCAGCCCTAGAATAATGACTTTTTAAAAATTGAATCTGCCTAGGACTTGAATCAGAGGAAGAACTTTTCCTTTAGAAACTAAAACCTTGAGCCTTTGCTTTTCAAGAGTACAGAGCCCAAATGTACACTACCCAGGTGAAGTAGGCATCCTCAAGTCAACAAGCTAATGTAAAACTGGTTTGAAGCCAGGAAATCCCCAAGGCACTCCATAGATGAAAACATGAATTCCAGGACCCAGAAGAGGGGTCAGCAGGCTAAGACCCTTCGGTCAAATAGAGCTTCTGACCTGTTTGTTTATGACTTGGGTGTTAAGAATGAGTTTTGCAGTTTTAAAGGTTTTTTTGTTTTTGTTTTTGTTTTTTAAGTAAAAGGAGGAGGAAGAAAAAGAGACCGAAACTATGTGGCCTGTAAAGCCTACAATATTTACTACCTGGACCTTTACAGAAAAACCTTGCCAATCTCTGATTTAGAAAACAAAGAGAGCCCAAAGGGGTAAAATGTCCCCACTGAAGATCAGCTCATAATAATCCAGTGACAAAACCATTGCCTATTTAGGAAAGTCAACTGACTCAACCAATAGGAGGATAAGCAGCTTTAATTTTAGACAATAGTTGGGCCAGGGATTTAGCTCAGTGGTTCCAGCACCTGCCTCGCAGTGCAAGGACCTGAGTTCGATCCCCGGTACCAAAAAAACCCAAAATAAAACAAAACAAAAAAATTTTAGACAATAGTACAATCTGAAGGGAATATATATATGTGCAATAGACAAGAACTGGTGTAAAAAACAATCTATCAATTGATTGCTTCAAGAACACCCAAGTCATCTAAGGGAAACCCCAAGTCCAATCAGGGAAAAAGTTCCTGCTTTAAATGCAAGAAGATTGGACACCGAGCACATGACTACTAAGCCACTGCTTCATGTGTCAGGCTGTGTTCACATTGTGGTTAAAGCTTCAGCATATAAATTTTGTGAACACGATTCATTCTATAACAGTTTCATTGAGAATTGAAAGTTTTAAATAGGAGAAAGGAAATATGGGTGCAAGATCAATAAGACTATGTACAAAGTCTTTAGTCCTGAATTTTAGTAGAAACTATTGTATTAGTCTGTTTTCAATCACTGTAACAAAATACTTGATATAATTATCTTATAAAGAAAAAAGGTTTAGTCTGACTCAAAGTTTTGGAGGTACCAATTCATGATCAGGCAGACCTATTTCTTTGGGCCTCTGGTGAATGTGCCAGGTGGCAATGGCAAAAATCACATGGGAGAGAAAAACTACTTACATCCCAAGCTGGGGAGCAAAGAGAAAATAAAGGGGCTGCAGTCCTACAGTCCCTTTCAAGAACATACTCCAGTGACCCATGTACCCTTCACTAGCCCCACTTAGTAAAGGTTCCATTACCTCTCAGCAGTGCCATCATAGGGACCAAGCTTTCTACACATGAACCTTTGGGGAATATTTAAACGTTAACAACTATCAATATAAGCTCATGATGTATGTGGTGGATGTATAAAGTAAATGCACAAACTGTGTGTATCCATTAGAAAGGCCTAGAAAAAAAGACCAACCCAGTAACAATGAGATCTCTAGTGCCCAGGTTACAGTTTCTAAATGCCATTTGCTACTCAAATAAACCAAAGTTTCTTTGAAACACATCTGATTCTAGGCCTGAGAAAAGGAATGTACAAGCTAAACTGAGACTATCTTATCATTCCAGGTAGCAAGAAAGTTATTGAAATTAACTTTTAACTGCAATCAAGAAATAACTACAATAGCTAAATATAGGATAATTTGATTTTTGGAATTGGTTTTGGCTACAAAATATATAAACTTGTTTGCCCAGTCTATCAGTCTATTAGCTATCAGATGTTCGTTTAATAAATTCCTCTTCTACTTCAAGTAGTCAAAACTGTTTTGTTATTTGCAACTAATAAACTTAACAGATAATCTGAAGAAACTTACCTAGTACAATGAAAGTAGTAACAGATGTTCAGTAAATGTTGTCCTTCTTAGAAGTTAAAAATCTGTACTGACTTATTTTCAGACATTAGAAACTGTGTGGAAGGGCCGGGGATTTAGCTCAGTGGTTTCGCCGCCTGGTGCGCAAGCGCAAGGACCCAAGTTTGATCCCCGGTACCAAAAAAAAAACAACCCAACAAAACAAAACAAAACAAAAACTGTGTGGGAAATTTCTTTTCTATATACAAGGTAGATTTTGCCTCTGTTCATATCTCCCTTAGTTTCCCCTACCCAAGGGAAGAAAATCTGTAAATGGATTGGTCACAGTCCAAAGTTTTGACTGGGACCCCATTACTAGTGGGCAGGGTCACTGAACTGAAATGCAAGGCCCAAGCTCTTCTCTTTCACTTTGTTCTTCTTATCTCTCTGTGGTAAGCAGATGCAAGATCTCTTTTCTTTTTCTCAACATAGTGCATGATCTCTTAGGATCTGGATCTTTCTATCCACCAATATGCCTAACATTCCAATTTGAAGAGAAGTAAAAGCTCCAAGGGAGACACTGAGGCTTAAACCATGTACACAAACTCATCTTTTACCAGAAATTAAGAGTTATCAGGAATTTGGTTCAGCTACTAATATCATATACTGATTCTCATTTGCTGCTCTTTCCTACCTTGAATAGAAATCTCTTGGCAAACTAATGACATGTCAGGACACTTGAAGAAGGTGAGGTTCTCTGTGGGAATGGGAAAGGTGACTCAATTAGGTAACACCAAAACCTCTCTTATCCTTACAGAATCACCAGAACGTAGGTAGAAGAAAGTGAAACAGAACACAGTATAGGTGCTGGTACTTCAACACGGTGACTCTGAAGGTTACGTTTAGGAGTTCTGATGGATTGTAACACAATAGAAAGATAAAATGGAAGAGGCAAGTGGGAGGAGACAGAGGAGGGATAAGAGGATGACTTCTATGTTCTTCAGTCCATTTTCTTTACCTCACTCCTTCTTCTCTCATAATTCCCTCTCGCACATCCAAGGAAGAGTGATAAAAACGAGTAATGAGGACCAGTCAAGTTCATAGGTATTTTATTGGCCACATCATTTTCATGGGTTTTCATGTCTTGGGAATTTCTGTTTTATACTTCTGGTGTGCTGAGAAAGTGCTTTTACCTCACCTTTGCTCCAGGGTGTAAGGAGAAACACATTTCTCAGTGCTTTCTTTGCCATGCTTTTCCTTGGGTTCATCTTTTCTTGCTATCAGAAAGTTAAAATACAAAAGCCTGAGAAGGTGCAATAAACTTAGGAGGAAAAGTGCTAAGAAGGCCACTTGGGCTGTTATTAATATTTAATTTTGTATTTAGATTAAACGGGAATAATTCTTCACTGGTTACCCCAGGTTTTCAGTGACCTAGAATAATGTTTATGGGCAAAACATAAAGTGCATGCATTTGCCTAGCTCTCTCCTTTGAACTTGATGTCTCCTTGTGGACTCAATGGGCACAGGCAATACTCTGCCAGGACAGGATTTTGTGATGAAAACATTTGGCCCAAGCCTAACCTTTTGTCCACCAAATACTATGTTATGGAAAATGAACAACATAGGTGATAACAGACCTGCCATTCTAAGGCCACTTGTGACTAATGTCTTGACAGGTGAAATTTCAGGGGCTGCTTACAGGGATCAAAGAATACAAATGCAGAGCTGTAACAAGGCTTCAGCTCTTGGGATTATTGCTGTGACCTCCAAGTTTGCTCCTCTTATGACTGTTTCACTGGTTCCTGATGTCTCCATCAGCTCTTTCCTGATGGTTTTTGGTGCTTCCCACACTGAAGGAAACATGTTCCTGTGGAAACCCTGGGAAATGTATAGTGTCAAGTGATGGATTCCAACAATAGGGCTTCATATTCTGATGAGGTGGCTGAAATGTGAATGGATCACTCTGCTTGAAAGACAATCTTTCCAAGGCATGTTTTTAGGCCTGTTGCCTTATCTTCTGAGGTTTGTTCCCAAGTCACTTATAGGAGTTTCACATGGCATCTCAGGTCCTCTGCTTCCCTCTTCTGGTCAACTGAAAGGAATCTTTGTAGATATTTAGAGTTTAGGAAAATAAGTAATATGCTGGTAACTAGTCATTGAATCAAATTATAATCTCCTAATAATCACTTTTCAATTCTCAAAAAGCTGTAACCAGAAAGATAACATCATTATGTTTCAAGTAAGTTCACACAAAGGCAATTATGACATCTATTCTATTGTACAAACTAGAGGGAAGGTGTTAAGCCTGCAGTTCTCAAATGTGTTATCAATGTATGTTTTGCCAGAAAGTGTTCCATGATTAAATATGTTTGGAAATTTTTGAGGAAAAATAAGTATACAAGTTTCTTTACTAAAAAATCACTCAAGGTTTTAAAATTTCTAACATGCCCTGGAATCTCCTATAGAGACAGAGCCTATAGTTTTTGACTGAGTCTTTTTTGTTTTTTTGAGCAGCATGCCAAGGGCTAGTGTATCATCCTACAGAACACTCTGGAAGAAACAGGACACTAGACATAGAAGAAGTGAACTAAAAAAGAAAAATTACGTTGGAAAGGTAAAACCTCACTCAAGCCAACATTGTGAGCAAGGAAGAAAATGACCTTCAATTACTTTTTAAATTAATATTAGGCTTAGTTTTAATCACAAAGCTTAGAGTTGAAAAGAATCCTAAAGGTTCCTTGGAGTTCTCTTCCTCCATTTTGTAGATACAGAAACTGAGATTCAGACAGCTGTAGAGAAAGTAAGTCTCAAAACCCAGTGAAGAAATATAACTTTAATATCTATGCATGGAGTCTGGGGCTCATGACCAAAGAGTCTGCAGTTTGACATATTAGATAAGCAGGTTAACAAAACAGTTCAGAAGAGTATATATCAGGCCATCCTGTTCACTGGAAAGATGTATTCAAGATATTACAGCCCTTGACAAAATGAGATTTGACTTTTTCACTTACAAACGCACAGAAAACACTTTTATAAAACTCATCATCTTCATTCATATATCATAAGGAAAGTCAGGAAATACAGCATGGGATAAACACTGAGTACTGTGATGCTTTTTCATAAATGTTGAGAGAGCACCATAGGCTTCCATATTAGCCAAGACTGTTCTGGTCTCCAGTAACAAGAACCCGTTTATGGCTGCAGGGGCAGCTCAGTTCTAGAGCACCTGCACAGGATGTACAAGGCTCCAAATTCCATCCCCAGCACTGCAAAAGCAAAACAAAACACAAAACAGTTTGAACTAGCTAGATTAGGCAGAAGAAAAAAGGAGAGCAGCAGAAAATAATTCATTGGAAGGTTCACATGACAAAAGGAAGAGCTGAGAGGTAAGTGAAAGGGCTACCTACTGAGAGTCACCTTTATCACTTGAACTTCTGTCAAACAGCTTCATTTTCTACTGCAGATGGCCTGTATCACCCTATGTGGGTCATGGCTGTCAGGCTCGTAGCATCACATCTTCCTCACCAAAAAGGAATAGCTTAAGTTCATAGTTCTAGAGAAAGGCTCTGATTGGCTTCATTTATTTGAGGTGCTCCTTTCTGAAGTGAGGGATAAAGGGTTCTAGGAGAGGCAGATAGCAGAGTGGGTGAAAGTGTGGGTTCTGAAATCAAACCTCTTGAATTTGCATACTGACTGTCCTGCCTACTGGCTGAATGCTCAAGGCCCTGTTAAGCTTTTTATTTCAGTTTCCTCATCTGCGAAAAGAAGGTAGTAGGTATCTACTTCAGGTTTTATGTCATGGTTAAGTGAGATAATGCATAAAAAAATTTTATTCAGTACCTACTACACGGTAAGCAATCAATAATTATTAGCTACTATCATGCTGGTTCAGCTTGGAGGCTTAGGAGGCCATGCTCACATCAACCACTATGGGATTGTAATGAAAACATTAACATAAGCTTTATGGTCTAACAATTTGGTTTCAAATTCTAACTCCCACATGGACCAGACTGTGCAAGTTACTAAACACTTCTATGTCTTTGAATTCTGCATTTATAACATGGGGGTAAGAATTGCTCCTTCCTTATATGGTGGATGCAAGGAACAAATGAGATGATAAATGTGAATCATTTAGTATCTTGTCTAGCACATAGTAAGCATATAGCACAAGTTATCATCATTATCATTAAGGCTGTGCAGGCAGTCTATGAAAAGATGGTAGCTCCCATTTGAATTATGACATTAGGAGCATTTCATTCATTTGCTCATTCATTCAACTAATATTTATCAAATGCTTCTCTTGTGCTAGGCATTGCATTAAATTTGGAGACTATAGAGCGATGAACAAGATAGACAAGACTCTGAGCTCATGAAACATATTATCTAGAAAGGCTTTCAGAAGAATAATATTGCTCCAGACTGGAAAAATAACAGATGTCTGCTTCACCTACCAATTATTACATCCCCAAGTTCTCTTAATAGTCAGTGCTTCAGATTTCTTTTTTCTGCTCTCTCTGAGAAACAGTCACCTTCACCACCATATCTCTTTCTTTTTGTAAAAGATTTCCTTTTCGTGCTTTTGTTAAATAAGTATGACTGTTTGTATGTGTGTGTATATGTGCTGTATGTGTACATTTTATTATATATAAATTCTTTTTGATATTTTAAAATCTGGTACATCACTTCTCTGTCTAAGGATTTGGGAGACATGTCATCTTGATTAGCCTTGGGGACTTGACTAGCTTGATGGAAATTTAGGTCATCAATCAACAGATGAGTGGATAAAGAAAATGTAGCATCTATACCCAACAGAATATGATTCAGTCATAAGAATGGAATCCTGACATTTGAGCCAACATATATGAGCCTGAAAGGCATTATGTTAAGTGAAATAAGTCAGGTACAAAGCAACAAATACTGCTTGTTCTCATTTAAATATGACATTAGCCACAGCAATTAGACAAGAGAAAGAAATAAAAGGAATAAAAATAGGAAATGAAGAAGTCAAATTGTCATTATTTGCAGATGACATGATACTCTATATAGAAGACCCCAAGAACTCCACCAAAAGTCTTCTAGACTT